CCGACCAACCCCCGCCAGCCCCTTCCGTCCCAGAACCACAGAAGTGACCGCCGGGTGGCCTGGAGCGAGCGGCCAGGCGTCGCGCGTCCAGCGCAGGTGTGCCACAGCCCTCCCTTCTGGGGGGGCCCCGCCCGCCCAGCCTTGCAACCGGACGGTTCCGGGAGTGCGGAGAGGGCGCAGGGACCCGAGGGCATCTGCGGCCCCGCCCGGCCCGGCCGTGGACTTCGCCCTCTGGGGCCCTTCGGACAGAGGGTGAAGACAGACAGGGAGAGAGCGCGACACAGAGAGGTGCTGGGGAGAGAAAACCAGAGAGACCTCGAGGCGAGGAGACAGCCCTGGACGCCGAAAGAGAGAGAGAGGCAAGCGCGGCAGGGCGCACAGGAGAACAGACGTCCGGACCGTCCAGGGAGAGGAGCCGGAGCGCGCCGCGCGGCTGTCCTCACTCGCCCACTCACGCTGAACTCGCTGGCAAGGACCGCCCCCTCCCGTCCGCCTCGCGCCTCCAGCTGCTCCAGGAAGCTCCGCGCCGCGTCCAAGCTGCGGCTCATGGCGCCGCCGGCCAGCGAGCTCCTGTCCAGCTGCGGCTCTGCGCGCTCCCCAGCTAGCGTAGACTACGCTAGAGGCTGCCAAGGCCCCGCCTCCGATCTTGCCAGCCAATGGAAGTGCGCAGCGGCGGACAGGGCGCGCCCCTCGGCCAATGACATTCAGAGCCCGCCCCAGCCCCCCCCCCCAGATTCCTGGACCCCTGCGGCCGCCAGAGCGCTCGGTACCCCCGCGCTGGGCCGGGAACGTGGATCCACCGCTGGCGCTTCCCTTTTTTATGACCGCCACACCGGCTGGCTGAGTCTACATGGTCCTTGGACACTTCCTCCCGCTTGGATCCAGGGTCTGCACGGGGCAGGGCAGACGGCCGCGCGCCCTCGCCCCGCCTCCGCAGTCTGGTGTCCTGGGAACAAGGCTTCCTCCGGGTCCGAGCCGGGGTGGCGCAGCAACTGTGAGATGGGACGGGCGCCGAGATCGACCTGCAGCTCCTGCCTGGGGGACCCGGGTTGGGGTGGCCCTGCGCTTTGCGCTCCGGCGGGGTCCGAGGTGGGTCGGGAGAGGCAGCGGCAGGGAAAAATGACACCAGGGCACGTGGGCTGTGAGAAAGACTGAATCCGTGTATTTCCCGAGATTCCTTCTTTATCTGGATCGGGATAGGAGGAGCTGGGGGCACCAGGATCCAGTACTAACTTGAAGATCTCAACCTGCATAAACCTGCTGGGAAACAGAACTAAGGCGCTGGAAGTGGGTTCCAGGGAACCAGGTGTTCTCAAACGTTTTAATAGTTTCCCTTTTATTTTTCTTTTTATGTCCCCACACCCTCATTTTCAGAAAATGTGGAGCATGCTGGGGGACAATTGCTACCCCAGCTCCCAGGGCCACCAAGGGGAGGCTGGAGAGAGCAAACAGGAGCCTAGGGGCCTGGCCAGTGTAGATGAGCTACCCCACCACACCTCAGGGGTGGAGTGTGGATTAATTCATTAGGGAGTTATGAGTGTTATTTAAACCAAGGGTGGGCAAACTGTTTCTTAAAGGGCTTGGGTCCCTGTCCCAGCTATTAACTCTGCCATAGAGTGTGAAAACAACCATAAGCAACATGTAAATGAGTGAAGCTGGCTGTGTTCCAAACTTTAACTTGTGGACACTGAAATTTTAATTTCATGTGTCATAAAAAAAATTTGGGGGGCAGCCTGCAGGTTGTGGTTTGCTGACCCAAGTTTAAGTGACTGAGAGGTCAAAGCAGGTCAGTGAGATGTTTCACTTATTGAGGGATCAGTAGGAGTCACTGTAGAATTGGTGTTTATCACTGTCATATTTGAGAGTTCAAAGATGGTCAGTAGTGATCACCGAGGATGGACACTGATAGTGAATTCTTTGGAGGCCAGTAGAGTTCCCTAGACGTTCGTGGACTGTCAGTGTGTTGATGGTCAGTGAGAGACAGTGAGAGTACCAGGGGCCACTGGGACTTGGAGTGTTAGTTTACTAACTAATCGAGGGGACAGAGTCAGGGAAGGTCATTGGCAACTCCTACTCAGGCCCATAGTGTCAGTCAGACTTCTGGGATGGTCATGGGTTGTTGGAGTCTCAGGATGGTGGGGATACAGAAGTATCAAGTGAACTTTGAGAAGATATGGAGGATCCCTGAAGGAGTGAGAGAGACTCTTGAGTTCCCGAGGACTCGTGGGCAGTCATTTGGGGCCAGAGGATACCAGAGTAAAGGGGGAAGAGCCACTGTGGGATTACAAAAGGTCTTTGGGGACCCTGGTGGTAGGGGAATCACTGGGAAGTCGAATGGTCATGGGAGACAGTAGTGTCTGGAGAGCACAGGCAACACTGCAGGGTCAATGAGCTGTCCCTGCCATCTGTGATGGCAACCGGGAGGTAGGGCAACTGACCCAGGGGCTGTGTTCTGGCTATCTGGGGAGCTTCTGTTGGACTAGAGACTGATGGTCTGTTTGTTCGACAGGGTGAGGTGTACCTCTGTCCCCTTGGCTTGGGGAGCATCTGTCTATCCTACTGAGGGCCTGGCTTTCTCATAGGCTGGGGTCTTTCCTACTGGCAGAAAGTCTATCAAGCGGAAGGTTTAGCGGGCTAGTTGACTGGATAGTGGGGTGTCTCTCCACTGAGTAATGTCTCTGTGCAGTTGCGGGGGTCTGTTCTTGAGAATTGTCTTTTGGCTGGCTGGGGCCACCTTCCAATTGGCTGGAGGTGGGGTGGGAGGGGTGTCCATGTGTCTGGACACAGGTCATTCTGGATGCCTGGCTGGGCATCTTCCCACATTTCCAAGAACCTGTCCAAGAACCTGTCCTTTTGTTTGGTTGTCTGTCCTGCTGCAGTCTGTCTCTCTCTGAGATTCTATCTAGAAGTCTGTCTGTCTTGCCAGGGGTCTATGTGTCTTTGTCTGCCTGTTTGGGGGTCTCTCTGCCTATCTGGCCTGTGACAGAAGTGGCTAATATTGCAGTCCACCTGCTGTGCTCCCTGCAGGGTTGTGTCTGTCTTTCTGACTGCATGTCCACTCCCAGCTCCATGCCCCGCTCTTATTTTACCTGCCTGTCCTCCTGACACTGACCACCCTGCCGTGTCTCTCCAACATACAAACTCTACTGGCTTGCCCTCTGCTCAGCTCAAGCTGGGTGTAGGGGGTGGGAAGACCCCCCCCCACACCAAGACCTCCTCCAGCAGCCCTGGCCCACCTGTCTTTCTTCTCCCAGAGAACTGCAAGCTGTGTTCTTGTAATGGGACTCACTGCTACCGGTGACCCTCTTGCGCACCCTACTGGTGGCAGTCCTGAGCAGTGGGAGCAGAGCCCTGCCCTGCAGATCCTGAGCACCCCAAAAACCAAATGCCAGAGTGCTAGCTTAACTGGCCACCCGACAGAGCCAAATGGACTGAGTGCTGGAAGGTGCTCAGGGAAGCTTTCACAAGGCTGTGAAGAACCGAGCCTATGCTGATGTCGCAAATTCGTAACTTACATAGTGGAGAAACCTGGCAGACACCACTGTCACCCTAGAAAGCTTGTGGGGAGTTACTTTGAGACTATTGACATCCCTACTGTACAGTTCTTCTCTGACCTCCTATTTTGCTAAGGCACAGAAGGGAAGAAATTTGAAAAAATTATCTCACCGCTTCACTGTTAAGAATTTTTGGGTTGAGTGGGCTGACCTGGCCCATCCACAAGTCTGGCATTTGGCAAACAGGAAAAATGCCACTCTCTCCAGTTACAGTGGCAGCTGGTGTCCACCCGTGATTGGAACTAACTGCCTTTGGAAGGGCTTTTGTTCCAGACTCTGGAAATTCCACAAGACAAACCAGGTTCCTAACTGAATAAATTCCAAAGAAAAAGATTAAAAGAGAGAACCCTATAGGTTAGGAGACTTAGAACTTACATAAAAATGCTCGTAGCAGCATTATTCAGACTAGCCCCAAAGTGAAAAATAACCCGAATCTCATAAAGTGCTAATAAATAAAATACAGTATGCATATGCAGTGGAATACTATTTAGCAATAAAAACGAATCAAGTGCTGATTGATGCAACAACATGGATAAACTCTGGGAACAGTGCTAAGTGAAAGAAGCCAGTCACAAGACACCACGTGTTGCATGATTCCATTCCTATGGAACGTCCAGAAGAGGCAAGCGTACAGAGACCAGAAATAGACTAGTGGCTGCAAGGGGCTGAGGGTTGGGAGACAGTGGGAGGGGAATGACTATGGGGTCTCTTTCAGGAGGGACAAAAATGTTCTAAAATTAGATTGTAGTGATGGTTGTACAACTCTGTGAATGTGATTTTTAAAAAACAAACACTTACTTGTACAATTTAAATAGATGAACTGTGTGACGTGCAAATCATCTCAATAAAGCGGTTTAAAAAAAATAAACTTGTCCATCATTTACAACGAATGGACCTAAGTTGGATTCTAGTTCAAACCATCATACCTTAATCAGGGAACATTGAATATTAACTAGGTATTTAAAATAACATTATTGGAGTATATAAAGAAAGAATTTGGAATAATTGATCTTTTTAGGTGTGACAATGGTATTGTTATTCTTGTTGAGTCTTCTCTTTTAGAGGCATATGGAAATATTTATGGACTAAATGATATGGTTTCTGGGATTTGCTTCAAAATAAACAAATGGAGTAGATACAGGGAGTGAGTGGGGCTACGAAGGAAACCAGACAGGTCAACACAGAGATGGACTCATGGACTCACTGCACAGTCCTTTCTGCTCTTATGTTTGGAATTCTCTGCCATTAAAAGATTTAAAATAATCAGTCACTATAGAGGTGAACAACTGTTTCTATAAAGAGCAAACAGGTCACAGAGAACACACACGTATCAACAGCCAGTGAGCATCTGAAGATGCAGAACCTCCATCATAATTAAAGAAATGCAAATTCAGTTGGGGAACCACTGTGAATCCAGAGCTTGGCCAAGACGGAAAGTCTGACAGCACCCAGTGCCAGCAGGGACACAGGCACTCAGACCTACTTACAGTGGCTGGGAGAGACAGCCTCCTGGAAGACAGCTCAGCAGCATCTGTGATCATTTTAAAGGTGAAAGGCCACCTGTAGGAGTGTGCTCATCAGAACACTTGCACAAATGTGCACAGAGGTGCATCCAATGTTCTTGAATCAGTGTTTGTTAGTAAAAAAGGAAACAACTTGAATATGTAGGCTTTAAAGAGGGGTGCATCCACTTGTTCCAGATAACCTAGATATATCCTTGGTAACCCAGAGAGGTCCTGAAGAGATCATGAAAGGGAAAGGTGGCTATTATAAAGCTCTCCTCCACTGGTGAGCCTGAGTGCCCTGGGTTCTCTGGGGAACTCGAATGACACTCAAAGGAGGCCACAATGAACTGAATAAATGATTTGCATCTTAATTATTCTCTGTCTGTCCCCAGCTGAGAGCTCGCCCCCAGCGCCAAGTCTTGCTCAAAGTGACATCTCTGTGCTCATAGTACTATCCCCACTCCCAGACGAAGAACTCACAGGGCCTGACTCCTGAGTGACAGCAGCCCTTCCTGTGGCCAAGGGGCACGCCAGAGCATCGGCCCTGC